TGGCCTCGGTGCCCTCACGATGCTTAATATAGATCGTTTGACATGTAAAATAAATCTAAGTAAGAACGTTTATATCTTGATAGAGAACAAGAAAGCCAAAAACGTAGGTCGCCTAAGCTAGCATAGGCTAGGCCAGGTTGCAGTGACAGAACAGAATATGAGAGAATTTCCATGTGTATTGATACGAACTGTTTTTGCGGTTACCGTTGTGTGCGCATGCGTCTTACTCTAGCGGTTATTGCAATATAAACATGGGCTCATTCGACTGGTTCATTTCGTTGGAACAAATTTATGTTGAGTATTATTTTATCCACTGGTCCGTTAATTAGACTTCGTTGACAACGAAAATTAACGTAAGCCAGAGTGCGTTAATCAGCGTTAAGTTATCCACGTGACCAAAGAGAAACATGGCCGATTGGTGATTTTTTATTAACAACATTTGCGTTAATATAACTTAGATTAAATTTCATAAAATAAACATTATAATATTTACCCACATGGTGTCAAAAAATTATTGTAGGCACACAGAATTAAAACAACTGGATGAAAATATATTTTTTTTAACGAAAAACACATACTACCACAAGTTGAAGCAGTCTTGATTGCGCAACATATCGCGGTAACTATACAGCCATTTTACCATTGACAACTATGGCTTGGCTAGGCCTAGCTTGCTAGCCTGGCTACGACGAATCAAGGCACTCGCGAGAAATTAGTACTGAGGCTAAATCAAATTATGGCTTGGGTGTCCTTTTATGCTTGAAATTTTGGCCTTGGTGCCTTTCAAAATTATGTCATACTGGAGGCCATTTGAAATCCCCAAATTCAAGGCCTGAGATTATACTTCAAATAACTAAAGTAACAGAATATAGTTCCTGAGAATAGTAGCTGCAAATGTGAAAGGTCTGTTGATAGTTTTCAAGTTGGTTCGGGGAACAGACAGAAAGCACTGGTGAGAAGATCGAAGTGACCTAGAAGGGCAGGGATGTCACCACGCTGGTCGGCGGTGGACAGGCCCGTCCAGCACTCAACATTTCCGACCAGGATTTACAGGCTCCCGACCACCACTATTATTTCAACAGTTTAGAAATTGTAACAAAATAATTAGTTTACCTAAACACAATAGACAAGCTAAATTGATAAAGACAATAAGAATACAATAAATGTTTCCGTGGTTACGTTAATTGTAACAAAATACTGCACTGCCCTGCTATTCATCGCTAACTTAACAGCCTAGGCCCAGTTGAGTCATAGCTAACATCGTGGGCCGGCATGACACGGTTGCTCTGTACACATTCAAAGGTTAAAGTTGAAATCGTGACCATTCAAGTGTTTTATTATGAGACCATGGTCCGGGGCAGGAAGATCATTAAACATTTACGAAACCTGATTTATGTTTTATTTCTTTACTTTCTTTTCATTTTGTATTTTAAGTTTTTCACTTTTAATTATAATTGATATATAATGTGTGTAAATGGACAAAAAATAAATAAATGAGTGCACATGAATCAGTGACACACATTCATCGTGGTAATCGTCAAACATGTGAAATTACGGCAAACAATGGGTAATTCAAACAATGCGGCTGGGTACAGTCGTTGTTTGTCGTTGGGATTTGTTCATTATTATTTTTTAATCTAGAACAAAGCATGTCAACTATTGAATTCAATTAGGCCTACAGTAAGTCTCATCTTCATCTGTTTTGTTGCATTCCTCAAATTCTGGCCTAGGCCTACCTGGGCCTGGCCTAGCCCTACCTTGGCCTAGCCAAAAAAAATCGCGTCAGCTAGCCTTGGGCCTAGGCCTGCTGGACTTACTTAGGCCTTTTGGTTTTTAAGAGCTTTCACGAATACGGCGACCCCCTCACCCCCGGGAAAACGGGGGTGGGGTGGCACCCCACCCCCGGGAAAACGCAGAATGATCGCCAACCGGCACTTCAAAAAGCTGGTGACATCCCTGGAAGGGGTATATTTGAGAAAGAGGTCAAGAAGTTAAGGTTGTACAAAGTTTGTATACATACCCCATGATGTTCTCTCTGATCCCTCCTATTGGTACTCGTACCACAACCACGGACGCATTCTTCGGAATCAGGCTTTCATCTTCAGAGTATTCTGTTGGAATTTAAAAGATAAGCTAATTTAATTCTTCAATAAAAATTTAATTCAACTAATGAAACTGTTTTATGGTGCTTTGCTTAAGTATATGAGGCATGTTGTGGCAAAATGGCCAAGTTGTAGCAAAAATTGAAATGCAAGTTATTGGTATGTTCAGATACCCGAGCATATAATCTTTATAATGACCCTTCATTTTAATCTTTATAATGAAGGGTCATTCACTGAAATTGGACATTTTAAGTCTATTTAGTTATTTGTGCATACATTGTTTAATAAAATTAACTATCAAAATAATGTTAAATAAACAATTTATTGACCATTTCCAGAACTAATACTCTGGGACATAATTAATAAGACATTAAGCTGTTTCCGTTTTGCAAACTTATACTTTTAAAGATCATCAGAGAAGGGCAAATTGTTTGCCAAAAACATCTAGACGGAGAAGAAAATATAAAAAATAAAATTTTATTGGCGAACGTAAAAAGGGTAAATGCTTAAAATTTATATAATTAGGAGAAAATATACATTATCTTATTTTTGGAAACAAAATAAAGAAAAACTTATTTTTTTTATGAAATTTCCCTTTTTCATGGCAGGGAAAGGGGGGTGGTGAGTGGGTAGGCTAATTGGCCAAAAATGAAATTTTATATTTATTCAAAATCAATATTGATGTACGTCGGATTCCAAAACGAGGTATAAAAAGTCTTTCCTAAAATGTATTATAAATACAGAGCTGTAGAGTGAAAGTAATTATTGACAGTAAAATCCACATTTATGCATGGCAAATATATTTATATCTAATTAAATTAATGTAATTATTGAATTAAGCTAATAAAAAAAAATACAAATAAATATATTTCCAAAAAGACCAATCTAACCCAATTAAAATTTTATCTTTGAATATGAAGCAACCTAAACAGCTGTTCATTATTTTTCCAATATTTTCTTTAACAATACAGTACACGTTGGTTTATATTTATTGAAATCGATTTAGAATTCATGGCAATGATTATGTACAGAATTCCAAATGTGTTTTCCTGATTTTATGAACAAGCACAATAGTTACCGACATGTACACTTGTCAGAAGAATAGCATGTGGACTTTCATAACTCGCAAATATTAGGGCAGGAAAAAAATTGTTGATATCACTCCCACCCGCATCCAGAATTTTGTGATATGGACAAGGGTAATTATACCGTAAAACATTTTTTGAGAGCCTACATTTTCGATACAAACGATCCTTAGTAAACATGTGGATAAAACGTGTGCACTTACACACGGAGATACAGTCGATGTATAAATAACCAAATTTCAACTATTAACACTCAAATGGTCATGTCTCTCAAATTGCAAGAAAGCCCTGGTTTGATAATTATTATGCACTCTCTATGTATGGAATGCACTAGCCAAAGCATTCATAGTAAAAAGAAGCATAACAATCCCCCTTTTATTTCATCTGTAAAATTTTAAGATCGTTGCATCAATACTCAGAAACCAACCCCTGTCCCCAAAAAAGCCAATTATTACTTAATTCTCCAAATTTGCAGCTCTCCTACAGCAAGCCTTTACAAGAATAGACCTATGTTCAGTATGACTATTCAAACTAGTTTTATTATGCATTAATAATTTATTGCAGTACTCTACTAAGAAAAGTCAAATAAAAGTCATTCAACCAAGACTCGAACCATACCTTCACTGGTTTGGGCGTTGGTTATCTTCAGATCATAATCCACGGGCGATATTCTCTTGGCTTCCATGATATTCTTCTTCAAATCTCCAAGGGAAATATTTAAGCCTTGGAAACTGATAGTTTCATAATCAATCATACTCTTGAACTTGTAGTGCACAGACATGGTGGCTACTGTTCTACCAGATGTGCCAGGAAAAATACTGCTGTTTCAACAATGGAATGTATTTAAGTCTTTTTTTTACTGTTCTATGTGTAGTAGTAGTAGGAACATCTTCAAAGCTTGAATTGGTGCGGACTCAAACTCAAACATTTCTTGAATTCCATCCTGTATTTTTTTAATTTCTTAATATAATTATGATACAATGTTTTTCTTTATTTATTTATTTTTTTTTTTTAATTGAATAAAAATTGTTTTCAAATACTTTTTTTTATTAGATATTTGACACACAGTTTCAAAAAGACATCAAAATCAGCACATTTCTTGCTCCAAACTGGTTATCGGCATGAAGGTAATGACGTCACAACATGGCGGCTTTACGAACTTGTATTTTTAGCCGCAGCTGCTCTGATGGCGTTTCTTTCTACCTCGTAAGTGCTCGTTTTCATTCAATTGTCAGTCAACATAAATCAATACTTCCAATAGTTTTCGTCCTACAACATAAAAAAATACTTAACGTAAGATACAGACACTAAATTACCAGTCAAAAAATAACGAAACGGCCTCACTTTAGCCTGAGTTAAAACACACCGCTCATACTCTACTGTACACGTACCAGAAAATCCAACGCTGTCTATACGGTCGGTAAAGCAGGCTAGGCACGTTGGTGTCTAGCCTAGGCCTAGTGCCAGTGGATCTTTCACATTAAATTTGTGACTGGGTGGGGGACATACACCCTCAGTGTTTGCTATATTCTATTGCAAATTGTGACAACTATAATAGTTTAATAAACATAGTTTTTAACTTACCTTATTAAAATGAAATTTCTGCTTTTGTGTGGCGTTTCTTCTTCTAGAGTTAAAAAGCTGACGCACGCATCGGACGGATTTCGGACGAAGCAGAAACACAAAGAAAGGGTGATGAAAGCGGTAAAACGGAGGTCAAAAGTACAGTTCGAACAGTTCATTATTTATATAGGGTGACTCTTCTCTGGAAATGCCTTCATTATTTTAATACAATAAATACCGTTAAAACCTCAAATTGAAGCCCTGGGCTTTTCCATTTTTTCTGACATTAAATCACCTAAACTACTGTATGTATAAACCAAGTTTGTTTTTAATTTATTCTGGGTTTTTCTTTCTTGTTTTTTTTTTTGTTTTTTGTCTTTTGTTTTGTTTTGTTTTGTTTTTTATTTATTTATTTATTTATTTTTTTGCCTATCTATCTTGAAAATGCTAATTTTGCAAACTAAAGAGGGGCTTCAATTCTAGATTAAGCCCACTGTACAGTAACACACACAAAATAACACCAACGCACAGCACAAAAACAGTATAGGAAAAGTTAAGACATTTAAGCGTAAATTACAATTCAATGTTTTCATTTAATGTGGATAGAATAGACAAAAAAAAAATAATATAACGATAGATAATTTTCGGTCTGTGAGTCAGTGATAGCCTTACTGTACTTATTAAATTTTATACTTCCTTCAATACATTACTGTATCTTGAAGATTTAGGTTTCAACATTCTCAATCAATTAATAACTTACATTTACACTGCACTTGCAGATTATGATTTAATATATAGACTTTTACACCCCATTGTCAATGCCTTAATTAAAACTAATTTGGTAGAAGCATGTAGAAGGACGAGAGTCTCGATGTAGTAGTCCAATGAATCAAGATGTTTTCAATCAATCGACAATGTAGGCCATGATCGCAGTGCCGCTGCCTCAAAATGCCAAGTAATCTCTTCTTCTTTCTTTAGGCACACAATACATGTGCCAAGGATTGTCAAGAGCGAATATAAGTGTAAGGGTGACAATCCCTTACACTAGTCAAACATACACACACGATGCTTTACACGGAAAAAAAAGTTAAAAGTGCCGACCCTGAATTTCGTAAAATTTGAGTCGATCGGGCATTTTTTTTTTTGGCTTTTTTATGACAGTTAGACTATGTCAACTGTAGTTCACTTAAATTTATGATTTTCAAATTCTCAAATAAAAAAAAAAAAAAACACGAATTTTTGCGAGTGATGAAATTTAGGGAATATTACGAAAGCCTATTAGGGCCACTGAAATATATATTTTTATGTCGTAATTACGACTTATTATGTCGATAAATTTCGACATAATAAGTCGTAATCACGACATACGTATGTCGAAATTTCGACATAATAAGTCGTAATTACGACTTACGTATGTCGAAATTTCGACATAATAAGTCGTAATTACGACATACGTATGTCGTAATTTCGACATTTTTATGTCGTAATTACGACATAGACTTGGGCCACTGTACGTATTGTTTCTCGTCAGCTTCACTTATGTACGATTGAAAAGTTGGGACTTGCAGTTGAGTGATATTTTAATTTTGAATTTCATATTTTCAGTTATAATTTCAAAATTCTGAATACACATGTCCCCAAAAGAGCAAATAGTTAAAAAGTACATTTTGAAAAATGTGTAAGTTAAGTGGGTTTTTCATGACAGGGCAGAAATAAATTAAATATAAAAATAATGTTTTAATAATGATAATATAAATAATAACTAGAATTACTCCTTTTACGCTACGTAGTAAAAGGATAACCTCCCAGCGGTGCAATTTTGTCCGGTACAAAATGTTTAAATATTTTGAATTCTGAAAATGTAAAAGCATTTTGAATTTGTTTAGGATAGGACCGAAAGGGTGGGGACAACAGAATGGAACGACGAAGTGGGGACATGGTATGGAGAAATGGGGTTGGGAAACGTGGTATGGGTAATGAGTTCCCTCCTGCGCACACACCATATTCGGGGGCGGATCAAGAGATGTCGACAAAAGTGAGGTGGGGGTGGGTTGACAGAAAGGGGATGGGGAAAAATGTTGGGCCAATCGACATAACACTACAGGGGATCCAGGGGAATTCCCCGGTAACTTTTTTGTTTGTTTTAAAGACTGAAATAACCTCTAAGGCCTTTTTGGCGATCGTTTTTTTTTTCTTATTTTTATTTATTTTATTTACCAAATTTTTATAGCGCCCTTTTCATGAGTACTCATATTCAAAGGCGCTTTACATTAAGGATACAAATAGAATACACCCACACCCTACTACGGACCGTCACCAAAATGTAATCATATCTTTACTGGGTTATGCCTAACACTCCCTCTTATTTTCATTTATGTCAGTGCAGCCGTTTTTGATATATGTTGCACACAAAAATACCACACGAAAATACCAAAACGTTACACACACACACACACACACACACCCGTCACACACCCCACCCACACACACAAACGTTAACACCCCAAATTACTACAAAGAAATGTCATTATATTTAAGAAACTAGAATAATAAATAAAATAAATAATATTAATAAAATTAATATCCTTTGCAGCAGTAAAAATGAGTACACGTTAATCATGGGCGGAGATATGATATTTATTTTACAATACAAACTCAATCAGACAAACAGTATAAACCACAATGGCAAATATCCCCACCACTGACGCAGGGCCATCGTAACCACACCGGCCGCACAGGCTTTGGCCGGACGACTTTTTCCCAATTGTATTACTTTTAAAAATAAATATACTCTGATACCTGAAGTTAGTATTAATGTTAGCATTAAATTGACTTTTTAATATTGTATAAAGTATTTAAACAAAAATCCACCATTTTTCATTCACCGTTTTTGTATTGCCATGTACATTTCAAATCTTTTGACAATCCTTAACTTTACTAGTAATTAAGATTGATTTTAAAAATCTTTAGAGATATACATATAAATAGTGGCTCAAGCCTATGTCGTAATTACGACATAAATATGTCGAAATTTCGACATAATAAGTCGTAATTACGACTTACGTATGTCGAAATTACGACATAAGTCGACATTTCGACATACGTATGTCGTAATTTCGACATATTATGTCGAAATTTCGACATAATAAGTCGTAATTACGACATACGTATGTCGAAATTTCGAATTATTATGTCGTAATTTCGACATAATAATATATATTTCAGTGGCCCTAATAGGCTTTCGTAGAATATAAACAATTTTATACTATAAGAAAAAGTTTGGAAAAACCAGTTTATGTTTAAAAAGGGAAATTGATGCTCCTAAAGTTGCGTGTTTCCCATTACCCTATTTTTGAAATGAACCATTCCAGTCTTATCACATGACGTTTATTTCGCGCAAAGATAAACGTCAGATTTCGTTCTGTGACAAAGTAGGTCCCATTCTTCCGCGAAAACAAAAATGGCTGATGATGAATGGAAGAAATAGCCGACTCAGAGCCATATTATTGGTATGTAACACATCATTTTGTAACGTTTTATTATTTATTTGTCATGAACCAGAAGTAATTTTATGCTATAGTTATGGGTCACAATGAACATCTTGTAAAGTATTACGGGTCCAGCTGTACTCGGTTGTGCAGCAGCTAGCCTACCTACCTGGCGAGCTGCTGGATGATTACGAAACATAATTAATTGTTGTGGCTAACCAGATAGGTAGGGATAGCCTAGTTCCCCGAGTTTATGATGATGAATTATGACGATGGACAGTTTGTTTGCAGGGTTCTACGGCTCCCCATGTGTCGGAAATGTAGATTAGCCTTAGGCTTGCATAATTTCATTTTTGTAATAACCGTTATAGATGACACAACTTTTATTCCGTTTTTGGTAAGCAATAATACGAAATGGAATATTAATCAGCAGAATATTAATATAATGGCCTAGCCTATGCTTAGGTCACTGACTGCCTAGGCCTAAGCTAGCTTGGCTTTTAAGTTACAAATTTATTTTTATGTATTTTTATGTATTATTGCTGCACTTTTCAATTGTTGTCTCTCCCATCCCCTGGGTCCCCGCCATGGTGGAGTACAAGTGGGACTGATCTGAGGATGTAATCAAACTGAAAACAAGGTATTTTACATGTTTATAATTTGTGTGTGCATCTATGCCATGGTAACAGATCACAAAGTCTGTTAGTTTGCCATTGCAACTAGACATGCATCACTCGTACACATGCCAACTCGTACACAAATTTAGGCGAACTCGTACTCACGATTGGTGATCTCGTACACATGACTTTTGGCAAAGTCGTACACATGACTTTTGGCGAAATCCTACCCAATGCATTTCTTGATGGAAGTGGATATATTTACGTCGCCGTAAACAAATCAATAAACGATATATGTACGTAAATGAAACAATGCATGCGCGGTCATACTTTAATAAATTTGCATTATCGGTCTTGTACTGTACCGCCACGAAATATTGCAATTTTACCTGCACACAGGCTTCGTAGATACATCGTAGCCTGATATAAACTATCTAAGCAAGGCTACGCGAAGCGAACCTATGAAGCAAAAGCATGTTGTTTGTATGTGCCAAAAGACTGCTGTAGCTTACTGGAATAAATAATGTATTGCTTGATAATTTGTGAATGACGAACACAAGTTTAGACCGTTAATTTAAAGTATGAAGCTGTTTTTCAATAAGAAAAACATACCCTTGACTTCATGGGAGTCTCCTCTTCCACTCGCTGTCCACGACAGGAACTTGTTTGTACTGCTGTATTATTTTTTTAATTAATTATCCTAGGCCTAGCTTATTTTTTATTTACAATTATTTTACCTCTTTTAATTGTCAAAAAATGATGTCCTCAATGACAATACACACATGTGAAAAGATTGTTCATCAAATAATATTTTGTAGTCTTGATTTAGTAAGATAAATAATAAATATAAAGGAGAATTAACGTCCGTTGGTTGTAGAATACCGAACGTCACATGGAAAACCCAATGGAAAATAAAACTTAGCCAGCATCAGACGTCAGAGTGCGCGCCAATCAGAACACAGTAAAGTGTGTTAATGGTTAACCTCGTGGCAAATGTTGAAAAGCTGTGAGCGACGGTGAGTGAAAAACGAAGTAAACATGGTCTAGCATTACTAGCCTTACTTCGGCAAGGTAGTGATTTCTATACTTCCATTTAGTATTGGATCGCTTTGGAGGTTCTGCTTCAATAATACGGTAAACAATAAACAACGTGATCTTTAGAAATCGTAATAATTTTTACATGATTTTTCATCAGTATTATTATTAAGAAGAAAATTCCTACTACCAGAACAATAATATCAGGTCAAAATTCTCAGAATTGGAACATTTACCAGTATAATTACTGTCTGCACTCCTCCTCTATAGGGGAAAATGTAGGCCGTAAGTAAGTCTAAATTACATCGAAATTCGAACATACTGAATGCCCACTAGGTTACCCACCCAGCTAGCGAACTAAACACAGTTTTAAAACATGA